GATCCCGGGGGGTCCCGGGAGACTTTCCCTTGGGAATCCCGGCACCCGGCAGCGCGGGGCACCCCGGGGTGCGCCGCCTCCCCGGTGTCGTTGCCGCGATTTCTTATCTTTTTTGGTTAATTGCCGGGTTTTTTTGCAGCCGCGGGAAGGCTTCTCGGGCAGAGAGGAAAGGAGCGGAAAATCCCAAACCGCGGATCCCGCGGGATCTGAGAGGCCAGAGCGGTGTGGGTTTGTCTCAGAAAACAGCCCCCAAAATGCTCCCCAGCCAAAGCGGAGCTGGCGGGAGGCGGAAATTCCATCAGCATCCGCTGCGCTCGCCGAATTCCATGAGCCAAGCGAGACCCGCGGGCGGTGGGAGCCGCTCCATGGGATAGAGCCCTCGTTGTCCGCCGGGAATTTTGTGGCGCCCTGGGGCCGGCAGGGCCCTCCTGACGGCGTGAAAAAGCTCAGGGATTGCCTTTCAGGAGAGATCCCTGCGGACCTCCCCTGTTGGAATGAATGAAGCAGCGACTTGTCTTCATCTCTTATCTAAAAACCCGCCCTCGGGTCCTGTTTCTGTGTCGCTGCCGAGACAATTGAGGGCTCGGGTGTAGCTGGGGGTTTCTGGCTGTTTTCCCGTGCGTTTGAGGCCAGTGGAAAGTCTCCACCGCGCCCAGAGCTGCGGTCGTGCATCCCTCTTCAGTCCTGCCCGAGGACTTGGGATTGCTTCTTCCTGCCCTCAGGGTTGATCTTGGTGCGCCGCCGCTGCCGCTGAATTTTTGTGGGTTTGTTGGAAAATGGTGAGAAACTTTGTTTTCTAGTTGGTTGTGTAGTTGGGAGTTGCACGTCGTGGCAGTAGCATGTTCACTTTGCTGTTAAATGTGACTTTTTGCCTGATTGTTCTGTGTGTGGGATGTGTGTGACATCCCCATCTCCTATGCATCCAGGTGTGGTTCTGTATCCAGCTCCCCCTGAAGTTAATTGAAATCGTCTGCCTGAATTAGAGACTTTTGAAAATGCAGTGAGATCCCTGGTGTCCCTTTAAATACCCTTACAAATCCTGAAATAAGCAGATTTACTCTCGCCCCTGTGTACTGGCAGGTTTCCTGGTTTCTCTTTAGCTTCCAATTAGCTTCTGGAGATTTAGTGGACCTGTGAACCAGCACTTGCTCTTTTTTTTAAAGACCAGTGGCATCACAGAAATGTAAATCACTGCATGCTGTCTCCACAAGATAACAAATGATCTTAAGTTCAGAATATTCAACCTTTTCCTCCTCCACACGGTTACGAAAGTAACAGATGGGTCGTGACCTGTATGTTTTATTTTCTGTTTGCTTAACACTTGCTTTTCAGATTCAAGATCAAGCTTCTATGTGGTTTTTTTATAGTTGTTAAAACAATTTGGCTGACACCTGACTCGAGCCACTAAATCTGATGGAGATAAAGATGTCCAACATCACTTTGAACTCAACGTGGCTTCTTCTTAAAGAATCTATATTTTAAAAATAAAGAGGTACTGAGGTCGATGGTTAATTACTGCATGTGCACTTTGAAACTTTACAAGCTGCTTTGATGCCTTTTTAGGCTTTTCTTTCTTTTATATATATATTTTTTTAAATCACTACCCGCCACAGGGGTAGGTTTATTGATTACATTTGTTTCAGTGACCCCACATTTTTGTTTGGATATACAACCTTTCTGGGGGCAGAAAGAGGGTGATGCTGTCGATTAGGATAACACGACGTGCGTGGGGTTGTGTTTGGTAGCAGTTAAGCAATGGAGTGGGGGATTCCAGGTGTGGGGCTGAGGGAGAGGGCTGGCAGAGCCCAGGCTCGTCCTCCCCGCAGCTGCTGCCGTGCTGAATTTAGCTGCCGGCCCTTGGGAAGGGGGCAGGCAGCTGCAGAGCTGTCTGTGTGGGGATTTGGTCTCCCCTGGAGACCCGGCGCGTCGTCCCGCCGCTCTTTGTTCCCGTGCACGGGCTCTGCCCGTGGGAAAACCCCGCTTGTCAGAGGGGTGGATCATAAAACTTGTGACAAAAGAGCTGAGTGAGTATCAGCTTGTCTCCCACTTCCAAGTATTGTTCGGGAATTCTTTCTTTCCTCCTCTTTTTTTTTTTTTTTTTACAGTTCTTTGTAGTTTGCTGTTGCTGCTCCCTTGGTCTATCGGTTGGCACTGGCTGGGTGAGTCCCAGCAAAACCACTCTGCCGGCGTTGTCCTGCTGGTTTGGGCTGGAATTGCTGGAAGAGGCCAGATTGGGTCTCCTTGATTTGGCTTATGAGTTGTCCTGCAGCAGCTCCTCACTCAAGCCCAGTGTGGGGAGCTGGAGGGGGGAGTGGAGCATCTCCATGCATGGAGCATCCAGAGCTCAGGCTTTGAGTGGAACACCTCAGGTTAGAAGGTTTTGCAGAAAGGTGCACTGGGCTTGGCTGTACAGCACGTGGGAAAATGTCATCAGCCGAGAAAGTAGTTCCATTAATTAATTTCACAAAGAATTAATTTCATGAATTGAGGTAGAAGCTGCAGGTTTGAGTTTTACAGCCTCCTGCCTCCCACTCTGACATTTTATATCTACTTGCTTCTGGGTGGCTTCCATTTCAAGGTTTTGAATCTTTTGTGTCTTTAAAAAACCCTCAACTCTCCACCCCAACAGCCCCCAGGGCTCAGCCACGCTCGTAGGTGCTTTATGTCCTAGTTAAGGATGTCTCATTTGGGCCCAGTGACCTCATGGTGCACAAACTGTTGGTGAAATTGGCCATTAATTCAGGACTCTGGTTGCACTCTGCCAGAACAAACCCAAGTTAGTTCTCAGTGTGGCCAGGGCTTTAGTTAGATTTTCCCTGTGCGTGTCACATCCTTGAAACCAGATAACGCTGCTGAGATGTGAGGGTTTGCTCTTTCCTCTGTCCCACTTGACACACCAAGATGCTCCTTTATGAATTTTAGGGTCTGACCCAGATCATGCTCGAGCTCTTCGTTATTAGGGGCAAACCCAATTTCTTGACTTGCTGTGGAGATGAGGGGGGATGACGAGTTGCCCTTACTGTGTGCTGTGTGTTCCAGAGAGCCCGAGGCTCGGTGTCCTCTTGCAGAAGAAGTTCTATCCTAATGGCCGTGGATGTGGGAAAATCCCTTTCTGAGGCCTCTCTGAGCGGGAATGCCGAGGACGATGGTAGTTGGGACTGCACGGAGGTGGAGGTGGACAGCCCGGAGCTGACGGACAGCCCGCACCGGCTCTCAGGGGCAGAGGAAGCCAAGCCCAGCCTGCAAGGGATGGATGTGACAATGAGCAGACACAGTCACTTGGCCACTGGTGTCACTCAGGGAGACTCCAGCTGCCGCCCAGCAGTGTCTTCAGCATCTGCACGCGGATTTTTCAGAGCAAGAGCAAACCTTTCAGAGAAAGAGACGCTGATTTGTCGAGGTGCTGCTGGTGGTGATGTGCCTCCTCGTGTCAGCCACTGGTCCCTCTCCTCAGAAGGGCAGCAGGTGAGAGGGTTGTGTGTGCAGGTGTTGCTGCACCACCGGGAGGTCCCAGGCGAGGTGAGGACTTATTTGCCAGGGCTGTCCTAGCAAGGGCTTTCCATCTCTTCCTGCCGGAGTGTGCCCACCCCTGCCCGGGCTGGGATGTGTGGTGGGAAAAGGCTGGGGCTCCAACACCCAAGTTGTTGCTTCCGTTCCCATATTGCCACCGCAGAGCTGGAAAGTCGCTCAGGACAGTGCTCCTTAAATAAATGCCTCTTGCTGCCAAATGACTCCTGCAGCTTCCCAAGCCCTCGAGATGCCTTTCCTTAAGATCAAGCCCCACTCTGGGCTCTGAGCAGCTGCAGGCTGTCCCACAGACGGCACAGAGCTCCACTTCCAGCCTCAGCTCATGGCAGGTCCAGGGCTGGGCTTTTATCTCCATATCCTGGATATGTGTGGATGTCTTTGTCTGGTTGCTTTGCTTCATTTTATGCATATCTCTCTCTCCCTTTCCTTTTCCACCCTTTCCTTGAGCAGGTGAAGCCATCAGGCTGTTGGGATCCGGCATCCAGCCCTCTCAGCCGGCGCAGCTCTGCAGAGGAGAACATCCTTCCTGACAGCTGCCACGACGCCCCTGTTGGCCATCAGAGACAAAGTCTGGGAGCCCAATCCTCATCTCCCTCCACCCCAGAGCTCCTGCAGCCCCACACCCCCCCCAGCCCAGGGAGCGCCCTGCGGAGCCGCTCCATGTTGAGCCTCTCCGCTCTGTCTTCGGGAAAGAGCGGCCTCTCCGAGGAGCCGTCGGGAAGCTTGCCAGCCAGCATGGATGTCCCTTCTCCAGCAGCCACCATGGTCACTACGGCCACCAGGGACCTGTGGTGCCGACAGGGAGCAGCAGAAGGCAGGGCCCTGCAGGTGCCTTTCCTCGATTGCCGCACCACTGTGGAGCGCATCCGGGAGGTCTCCTCCTACCAGTCCGATTACTGGGCCTGTGCCATCCCGGATTCCTTACCCCCGTCTCCAGACCGTTGCTCGCCCCACTGGAACCCCAACAAAGAATATGAGGACTTGCTGGATTATGCTTATCCGCTGAAGCCGAGGTACAAGCTGGGAAGGATGCCAGAGCCTGTCCTCCATGACTCAGGAGTAGGCCTGGACAGCTTTTCTGCTTCTCCTGAGGGCACGCTGAGGTCCACCAGCTTCTACAGCCCCCGAGGTGGGCAGGCTCAGGGAAGCAGAGAAAATGGACGTTGGGAATTGGTGGCCTCTGCAGAGAGATTCTCCACCCCGGGGCCTGGAGAAAGCGGCTGCTCAGGAGCCGGATTGTTCTATGAACCTTCACCTATTGCCAAAGCATCCTTTGCAAGAAGTACTTCCTCTCGTCCTTCCAGAGGTTTTGCTAAGGATGTAAGGATGGAGTCAGGTGGGCCAAGTTCACCTGGGCACGCTGCTGTGGATGGGAGGAGCTGGTGTTCCAGAGGGAGCCCTTTCCCAAACCTCACAGGGCAGGCGAAAAGCACTGCTAGATTTTTACCTATCACAGGTGTGCTCCCCCTGAGAAAGGAGTGGGAAGGGGATGAAGAATTTCTTTCCCTACCTCCAAGACTGCAGGAGCTGGAAAGGCTGGCTCATTTTCTGTCCAATCTTTCCTTAACTGTAAGGACGCCCAGGCACGACCACCATAACCTGCCACGTCACAGGCAGCCCCTTTCATCTGGGCTGGCTCCTTTTGGGGAAGCGAGTGGCAGGGACAAAGGAGGGAACACTGAGGGTTATGCTGGGCGGTGGCAGCCCTGCAGCTCTCGAAAGCCCAGCTGGGAAAACACAGAGTCGTGTGGCTGGATCCATAGGGATCCCCTCCGGGGGCTTCATCTACCGACCGGTCTCAGGGACACGTCGGATGGGATGTACCGAAATGAACCACGGGTCAAGGGACATCCAGTGAAGAGCCAGCAGAGCGAGTCCCTTGTCCAGTGTGTCAAGGTAGGCTGAGACCAGAAATAAAGTTTATTGTGGGAGGATCTCACATAAAACGTGCCTGGTCTTTATGGCACAATTAATTAAGGCTTCCTGTGCTGCATGATGTTGTGCTGCCTGGCAGCTGGTACTAATTTATGCAGGGGGGATCACCGGAGCAGATAATTCCTTCTGATGGAGCAAGAGCCTGTCTTGCTTTTCCTGGGGCCCAGTATCACAGGGCCAGGCTCGGTGGAGATGTGACTCTCAGCTTTCCCCCATCCTGCAGTGCTGCTGCACCAGGGAAGAGGCAGGAGCTGCAGCAACTGAGGGGTTTCCTAATTATTTTGAGAATTTTTATAATTTGAGTAAATGATGTCTCACGGCCATCCTGCCACCAGTGCTCTGCTCCCTGGCAAGCAGGCATTGCTCCCCACCTTCCTCTCCATCTTCTTCACCACCCCAGTGCTGGGATGAATTTGGAAGTGATGCTGGGCTGTTTGCAGGAGAGTAATGATTATCACTCACATAGCTGCAAACTCATCCCCTCCTCCTGTATGGGAATAACTCTGCTGATTTATAAGGGTCTTTTCTGTATCTGCCACCCCTGATTGCCAGGGAAAAGCAGCTCAGCTTTATGGCAAACCCCTGACGAGCAGGAGCAGGACTTGAGTCTGGTTTCAGTGCCAGCAGAGGCCCCTGGGTTTCATGCAGCATCTTACAAAAATAATCCCGTACCGAGACGCTTTAAAAATAAATGAAAGCACTTAATTGAACGAGACAAACCCCTGGGGAAAAGCAACTGCAAATTAACTGCACAGCTCCAGTGAGGAGGAGGAGGAGGATGAGGGTGTCTCTTGGGCTGCGAGGTGGCAGAGGCCAACCTCTTCCTTCCGCCTGGGTGCTCCCAGCTTCCAGCACCTCTCCATGGAGGCATTTCATGGTGACCCTCAATTCTTGCCACACAGTGGCATAGGGGGGGACTTTTCTCCATTGCAGCAATAGATCTGTGACCCCTTTTCTGTGCTTTGTTGAGTAGATGTTTTGCTGCCAGCTGGAGGAGCTGATCCGTTGGCTGTACGACGTGGCCGATGTCGCCGGCAGCTGGGTGCCCCCCTCGCCGGATGCCGGGAGCGTGACAGCATCGCTGCACCGCTACCTGGTGGGTATTGGCTTTGCTTCCCCCTCTCCAGTGGGAAGCAAGGCACCTCTGGAATGGTCTAGGGTGCATTGGGTTTGCAAAGACAAATTTGGGAGCACCAGGAATGTGCTCAGGGGAAACTGCTCCCTCGGCGACCTGTGTCTATTCCTAAAACCCTTTTAAGTGATGCTGCTCCTCTCCTTTCCTTGCCAGGAGTTCAGGAAGGATGTGGCCAACCACCGGAGCCTGACGGAGAGCGTGCTGGAGAGGGGAGAAGCTCTCCTGGACTGCATGGCATCAAATTCCCCGGGTGAGGAGGGAGTGCTTGAGTGGGGCTGGTCATGAACGCAGCTGGTGATGCTTGTGTAGCATCTGCCCCCCAAAATTCCTGGCCCTACATGTCTGGGGGTGGGTCAGCAGAGGGAAGGAAAAGGGTTTTTTACACCTCTGTTGCTGCCCGGAGACCTGGAGGTGAGGTGAGGTGGAGGTTTGAAGCCATTACTCCCGAGTGCTTGGGCTGCACCGTGCCTTGACCCTGGCCTTGGGCCCTGCCATCCATCAAGGGTGATGGATGTTCCTGCCTCTTAGGGGTCCTCTAGGTTATCCCAGAGGCAGCATGGCCAGCTCCCACTGGGCTGTGGATGGAGCTGGGAAGAGATGCTCTTTTTCCAGGGCAGGAGAGGGTGATTTTAACACCCCATTTGCACTCGGTGCATCCTGTGCTGGTGTCAGCAGCCAGTCTGGGGGCACAGCCCAGCCTGGCTGGTGCCGTGGTGTGTGTGGAGCAGTTTCTCTGGTGACTTGGTGCATCCTGCACAAGGGCTCTCTAGAGGGTGGGCTATACCTGCAGTCACCAAAGGGGCTTTAGAGGCTGAGTGCTGTGTTATGGATGGGCTTTCTTACCCAGTCCCAAAGGTTTCCCTTATTTAATGAAGATAATGCATCTTCATTAATCTGGAGCTTCCTAAGTCGCTTCCCACCCCCTCCAAACTCTGCATCACAACGTTGACAGGGTGAACATCAGGTTATTGATTTCTAACACTCCATTTCCTTCAAAAGCTCTGCCTGGGTGAGCAGAACTCTCTCTTTCTGCTCTTACAGACATTGAATTACCACATTACTACCACCTCCATTCATGTTTTTTGTTTTCCAGCTCTGAAAGACACGCTAGGTTTGATTGCAAAGCAGTCAGAAGAGCTGGAAAGCCATGCAGAGCACCTGTACAAGTCCATTCTTGCTGCTGTGGGTCCTGTGCAGGGCAAGGACGAGGTGGAGGACGAGGGAGATGCAGCACAAAGCTGCCCCATGGGTAAGCAGGGGGGCAAACCAGCCTTTCTGCAGTGGGGGAAGAGAGAGGGAAGCGTAGGGAGAGAAACACTTAAATTAGCAAACACTGCATGTCAGGGTCTATTGTTATTTCTTTGAATGTGATGTTTGGAAAGCAAAGGAGGTCTCAAAATGGATGCCCCGTCACCTCTAAATGGGCAGCTCCTCGGAGGGAACCAGCAGGGAGGGTTGGGGGGACAGCAGCAGCAGCAGAGGGAGGATGAGGAAGGGGTATTTTTTGGCTTTATGTTTTCTCAGAAACATTGTGGTTGCCATATAATGGTGGGAAAGGGAAGCAAGCGAATTCGGGTGTAAAATAGGGGCTACAAAAATTGTTTGCTGATTTCTTGACTGTCTTCCTTCAAACAGAACTGGAGAGACAAGTGTTTCAGGAGTGTCAGCCTCTCACAACAGGATAGTATCTTAAGTAGTGTTTGTTTTCTGTTTTTTTTTAATTGATACCTATACCCAGCTGTACCCTATACACTGTGGGAGTAGCCAAAGAAGGTTTTTCTCTGTTAAACTGCAGCCAAAGTACAGTAACAAACACCCCATTTTATTTCAGATGCTGCTGCCTCTGTCAGACCTGGACTTCGTTAGCCCATCTTGGGAGGGCTGAGAAGAACTGCAGCAAGCACCAAACCACCTCCACCACCACTTGGTGCAGAGATGCCAAAATGTGTTCAGTGAGCCCACCAGGGCTTGAGAAAGGTGTGTGGTACAGCAGGCACTCTGCTGCTGGGACGCCTGGAGTCGTGTAAGGAATGTACAGCTGGCCTTTTTCTGGTTTGTTTTTTTAACATAGCTTTCCTTTCTTTATTGAAGTGGCCTGTTCCATGTGTTAGCAGAATGTCAGGAACAGAGTTTTTTAACTGAGTAATCCATAGTGTTGCCATGCAGCTCCCTGCCAAGTAAAGCCGTGTGATTTTAATAGCCCCGTTCTCATGTTTTGTTTATGCTCGTCAAAAATAGGTGCCAGAAGCCAAGAAATAGCAACTCCTTCTGGTTCTTGGGAGCAAACTGAAGGTCTATTTATATTTACCACTCCCTGCTGAAGCAGAGCCTATTTAACTTTCAATTTTCTTATGCATAAACACAAGCCAAAATAGCGAATCTCAATAAAAAAATAAACAGGCCGGGGAGAAGCAGGTTCTGTATAATCTGGTGTCACCTGCTGTGGGCTGTAGCTGTGTTGGTGCTGTGCTGGTTTCCCCTCTTACAGCTACTGCAGTTAACCACTGCTCACAGAACAGCATCAAGGTTTTCCACGCCCTTTCTGTAATAGAAAGGGCATCTCTGAAGCAGCACAACGAGGTAAGTGGCCAAACAAAGTTACAGCATGTTGGTACCCGGCTTTAATTAACCTTTAAACTAAATGGTGAGCGGGGTTTTCTTGTGCAGAAAGCATCACTTCCACCCATTCCTGTGAACACAACACAAGTAGAAGGTAAAAGCACAGGTAAACTGAAGCACCTACAACAAATAATTCATTGGAGTTTTTGGAGTCTTTTTGGATACTCTCCCATCTTCTGTGTCCTAAGCCTCACAGGCAATTTTTTTTTGACCCATTATGTCAAAAGTATTCAGTATTTTAGCTCACAGGTAAGAGACTACAGTGCCCTTTTCCAGGACTCTTAGGCCTGCTCTGCCCTCACACCTCAGCCTGAAAACCACAAGCTTCAGCAGCACCAGCAAAGTCATGACTGAGGGGGGAACAAATAACCACCAAACACCTGGTGTAGCCCAAGTTGGTTTTGCAATGCTTTTATTACTGTATATATTAACATTGGTTTGGATAGTATGTAGCAGGCATCTCGACATTGAAGTTCATTTGTGCACTCTCTGAAGGGAAGATGTTTTACCCTCAACACAACCTCCTTCTGCTTTGCTTCCTGATCTGGGCAGCACTCGCTGCTGCTCCTGCTCTTGAGGAGCAGGCACTCACATTTATAATGAATTATACCAACAAGCACATCTCTACTAGAAAGCACATCACTTTATTGTGAAGGTCTCAAGTGGAAGAGTTCAACTTAACCATGACAATACTTTATGTATTACAATTGCCTGTTGATTTATGCAACTATGTTGAAGAAAGCTGTTAGCCAAAGTCACCCCCCCCAAAAAAAAAAAATCAGAGGATATTTGCACCAGTTTTAGTTTATACCTCACAACATACCTAGGCTATATTTTTACTATCACAGGGTGTATTTACTACTAGGGGAATGTTACATGGTCTTTCAAACATGAGACTATTTACAGAATAGGCTGAACATTTGAGTTTAGATAAAGCTGAACAATTTTACATGTATAGGAAGTGTTATAGGCTAGCTTTCCTGTGGCTTTTAGCTAGACATCAGGCACTAATGATTTGATTAGCTCTGTACAAAGAATCACACACCATCCAAAACCTCTTGGCTGCTGGTTAGTTCCAAATTATTTGAGATAGAGCCTACTTTGAGCAACAGTCTGGTGGGGGGCCCTGCTGCCCCCATGTCATCCTCCTGGTGCCTCGCTGCAGAACAGAATAGAAGCTAAGCTGTTGCACTAAGTCAGAAGAGTATTGATTAAAAGAGGATGGAATTAACAGTATATAGAAAAGACATAATATACTGGTAGAAAGTTACACCTCCTCCAGGTTACGCTGAAATCACTCGTGTTAGGGAAATACTGTTCTCTCCCCTACTACGCAAAGCTGTCGGGAATCCCCTAAGTGGAGTCCTTGAGAAATAAATTAAGTTCCAAGACTAAAGTTAGGGAACTGTTGTACATTCAGAGTGCATTATGCCTCCATGAACATTGGCTGGGTGTTTCTAGTACAGCACACGTGCCTTAAGCACCACGACAGCTCAGGCTTTGGGGCCGCAGCCACTGGTTTGAGTTGCAGGGAAGGTCTCTGGTCTATCAGGAGGTCTGAGAGCCATGGCTGCACACACAGATATGTTTTGTGCACAATGCAAGCCTGATTTCCCCCTTAGCCATACAAATTAAGACAATATTTATCACCATACAGTTTGATATTACTTCCAATAAGTACAATATTTATTAAACATTTCTTCAGTTTTGTTACATATTGTGCAACAAATTACAATATTCTGCAGCCACAAATTATATGCAGAGTATGAAGAAACTATTAATCAGATAGTGTGATCTCTCCATTTATAATTCTACAAGAAGGAACTAGCAAATCAGATCTTACATATATCTTACTAAATTTTATGCATGGAAAGTGACAGACACTGTTGTGCTGTTTGATACAAAATGGCTAAACTTCATCTTCAGAAGACTAAACCTGACATCTAAACATGCCAATAGAAACATCAAAACAAAAATACATCCTAACCAACCACAGGAAACAGTCTGGTATCAGGAAAAGCAACAAGGATTACACGTTTATAAACCAGCACACAAAGGTTTAAAACAGTTCTGAAAATGAAGTTAGCTGTCTTGAGTCAAGGGAATAAAAAAAGTCAGTATTGACCATTTACAATCTCTGACCTTTGTGGAGACGGTAAGAATCTGTTGTAGTGCAGCTACATACAGTACAATTCAGGCAATTTTTTTTTTTTCACTTGGGTTCAGATTGCAAATTCATTGTTGTGAGACAAAAGGGGGGAGGCAAGTTTTAGCAGCAACCTCCACTAGACTGCTTGACTGGAGTGCTCTGAATTTTAACATTGGACTTCTCTGCACCACCAGCTGTCGCTCCCGGGCCCATTCGTTTTTTAATCTCAGCAGCCATGGTCATGAAAGACTGTTCTACATTTGTGGCATTCTTTGCACTGGTTTCCAAAAAGGGAATTCCAAGAGAATCTGCAAATTCCTGCAAATTGAGAAACAGTGAACAGTAAGCTCATACACAGGTTCATAGCTCACCTCCTTTCCTGGTGCACTGCCGGATAAGCCACAGGTTCCTGGATTCCACCCCACCCCCCATCTCCAGTCTGACCTGCAGGGCAGGGGGTCATTCAACTGCCCCCATTTGTGTCACCCTGACATCCATGTACCACAGCACTTCCCTGCTCTAGCAGCTCCGTGCATTATGAACCAAAGCAGGTGCTCACCAAGCAAACACAGCTGTTTGTATCCACATACCTTTGCTGTTGTATAGTCTACTACTTTCTTTGTGGTCAGATCACATTTGTTCCCCACCAACAACTTGTTGACGTTTTCACTGGCATAACGGTCTATCTCCTGCAGCCACTGCTTTACATTATTGAAAGACTCCTGTGAGATAAGAGAACTGTAAGCAAGGCCCTGGGAGAGGGAAGTTCAGCACTTTGGTAATGACCAGGAAAGAACAGGAAGCAGTGCCCTGACCAATGTGATTCACAGGCACGGGAGAGAACTCTCTAATGCTGCCATCCCTGATGGCCTCAGGACAGCCCAGTCACCACATGGTCTACACAGCTCCTGCTCCAAGCCCTACACAATCAGCCCTTCCTGCACTCCTCCCCCCCTATTATTTTCCCAGCTCCGTATCTTGAATATTCAAGAGCTTCACCCATCTGGGACTCTTCTTCCTCTTCCTGTAGCAGAGACACAGCACGCAGCTGAAACCAGAAGAATCCCACAAATTTACAAAGCACCAGGTATCAGGTGCAAACCACCTTGTTGTAGATATGCTGGAACAACCTCTGACTGCAGAAATGCTGGATCAATATTCCAGTTAGCAATTGAACACAATTGTTCTTTTTCTATTAATGAAGAAACCCTACACTTCCCAAGTGCCCTTCCAACAGGACAACTGCACCAGTAATCTTCAGAGATCCTTTCACAGAAAACACTGGCTCAGTTGTGTCCTACACACATGCTGACAATTTTCTGTTCCAAATGCCCATTTTTACTGTAGACCAAAGTTCAAGTACATTCAGAAATCTTTCAACAACTTCCATCAGTAACTCAGACTTCCTGCTACCAAAGGCAGGGTGAGAAGTATTCACACAGAACAATCAGTTACCTGCTCAGCAAGTTTGAGGTTAAGCCTAAAGTACAATTGTTTTAGAGCCACAAATCCCACTGCTCCTTTTATTTCTGTGTTCAGCCCCAAACCCTGCATAGGAATATATACACTTGGCTTGATAAACCTCAGTGCAGCCCGGAGAACTGTGCCACTGTCTCCTTAAGACCTGCTCAGTTGTTAAATTCCTGGGTTTATTTACTTATCAGCCTGGAGAAACTCTCCAGGCACAGGTTTTAACACTTACCTGATCTGTAACATCATACACAACTATGATGCCATGAGCTCCTCTATAGTAACTGGAAGTGATAGTCCGAAACCTCTCCTGTCCCGCCGTGTCCCACTACAAGACAAGTAACAGGGTCAGTCACCGCAGTGTGGCTGTGCCAGAGTTACACAGCAGCTTCCAGCAACACAGCTCAGAGGATCAGCCACCCAACTACAACCACATCCAAATCACAGCTGCAGAAGTGGCTCTGAAACTGTGTGCATCAAACAGGATTTGAGGAGATCAAGTATTTTAGCTGAGAATTGCACCTGGGTAGCCACTTTTCTCAAGTGCTCATTTCCTTGGTTTCAGCCAAGGGTGGCCAGGAGATCTCTCTGAGGAGAACATGAAGCAGTTTTAACCCATGGAGAAGTCATGGTTCAGTGCTCAGAAGAACAAACACAAACCAGGGCTTGGTTAGAAAGAAGGTCGGAGCTGCAGGTCTCCAACATGACCACTCCCTGCAACGTCCTTGGCACAGGAGCTCCAGCAAAAGTATTTAAAGGCAACAACTCAAACCAAACCCAGTTCTCTTCTCCTGCTGTGAGACTTAAGGAGGGATATTAGGTGCTTGACCTCTTCCCCCACCCAGGACAGGAACGGCACCTGCCCAAACAGCTCCTGGAGCCGTGTCAAGAATAGGACTGGCTGCATGTTAGAAACAGTCAGACTCAGACTGATTCAACAGTGACAGCATTCCTAGTGGGC